ATCGTCCACTGGTTCATTGTCGTTCGGCAAGTCTGCGACCGTGAAGGTTTCCTTCTGCTTGCGGGGAGCTGTCGATTTCAACGCCGTGGCGTAGCAGTTCCGAGCGCTCAGTTGATCGCCCCTGATTGCCCCCGTGCCGTAGCAGGTTGGGAACTTCAGGAGTAGCATGTGGGGGGATAAGTGGGCCTTTATCGCTGTGAGTGTCGTTCGGCCGACAATGACGTTGTACGCTGTAGGACAGTCTACTACAAGGAACTGGTCGTAGACCATGGTCCTTCGTGGTGCGGTGCCGAAGGCGATTGGCAAGCTGACACTACCGATTGGCTGGACCAAGTCCCCTGAGAAGCTAAGGAGAGGTGAAAGTTGCCGATTGACCTGGCTGTCATCTATTCCGAGTTCTTTGAACGCGTCGGCGAAGATGACGTTTACGGAACTCCCACTGTCGATTAGGATTCTGCCGACATCGAATTCGGCAATCTCGGCTCGAATGATCATAGGGTCGTTGTGTAGGTAGATGATCCTTTCCTCTTCTTCTTCGGAGAAGGTAATGGGTTCCCACCTGACCTTCGGAATCTTTGTATGCCAGCTGCTTTCAATTCCGAGGACTTGGGGGTACTGTGCCGCCCTGACATACTGCTTTATCGAACGGTTAGATGCTCCGGCAAAGGTTAGGCCTCCGCTGATCGTGCTGATCATGTTGATCTGCCGATTAGCGTTCGGGACTGGCGCCTGCTGAGGCCTGGCTATGTACTGATCCAGTTTGCCCTCCCGAATTAACCGCTCGACGATTTTTCGCAGGCTTATGCAGTCCTCGGTATTGTGGCTGTTCTGCTGGTGGTATCGACAAAACTTCCCTGTATCCCTACCGTCTTGCCGACTGGGCTTTCGGAATGCTGGCTTCGGGATTATCTCGTTTTCGTTCATCAGCACTGCTTCGTAGGAGGTGTTGAGCAGGGTGTACACCTCCGTTCCCTGGTTATGAGCTGGTAGTGGCGATCAGTAGTTGTCCCTACTGTACCTGTTCTTATTTTTCTTGGAATGCCCCTCAGGGTATCCGGCAGGTTGCGCTGTTGACGCGAATGGCGAAGCCTGTGCCGTTGCGGATCGTTGTATAGGGTCGCTCGGCGGAGCCGTGGGCTCGGCCCTCGAATTGAAGTATTCGGTTTTGGGTGGATTGCCGCTTGCTTCATGAGTTCATCATACATACGCCAATTGTTGCTGTGTACCAGATACCGAAAGTGTGAGCACCGTAGGCCACTCTTGAAGGCGCCGTAGGCTGCCCTATCATCGGTATCCGAACATCTCGACTACTCATGGCTGAATAGTGCGCATTATTCACGCAACGGCTCATCATCTCTCTGCCGAATGGTGTACAGGTCATCGGCAGAATGCAGTCTGTCTGTTTGAATCATAAAATGATTCAAGAAGATCTGTTTCAGCTCATCGAAGGAATCAACTGTTCCTGGTTCCAAATGGTAGAACCAATTCAGAGCCGCCTCCGTGAGCGAAGAGGGGAATAGCATGCACTGTCCTTCGTCACTCAGCCCTAGGCACCCCACGGCCGATTGGAAGGAGTGAAGGTGCGTCAGAGGGTCCTCCACGCCTGTGTAAGCGGATATGCGCAGGGTCTGCACATCTCTATCCTGCCGTGAGCGCCTTATGCGCTCGATGAAAGGTCCTAGCCGAAGCCTTCCCCAGTCAGGCTCCTGTGAACGAGTCCTCTCGTCCTCCATTTCCTGTACCCTCTGAAGGAGGAGGCGAATTGTCAGTGGATCCTCCACCCCCGTGTAAGGTGTTATGCGGAGGGGCTATACGTCCCTATCCTGCCGCGAGTGCGGTATGCGCTCGGTGAAAGGTCCTGGCCGAAGCCTTCCCCAGTCTGGCTCCTGTAAACGAGTTCGATCGTCCTCCATCTTCTGTACCCTTTGAAGGAGGAGGCGAATGACAGGGTCCCTGTCCGGTATGTCCTCGGCAATCTGTTGTGCCAATCGCTGCTGGGATCTAACAGGATTGGCCTCAGAGAACTTCGTCGGGGTTGCCGAACGGCAGGGTGATGACCGGTTTGCAGAAGGGACGTACTCGTGGTCTGACTCTGCCGTGGATTCCAGGACCGGTATCCTCCGTATCGGAGACCTCCTCCCCATGTTCCTCAGTCGGGGATCGTCCAGGCGGGCGTTGATCCTGATCGGCGATTCCTGCCGTTCGGACTGCCGTTCGACTTCTCGCTCCAATAGCCTGTGTCGGCAATTGGAATAGACCTTCTTCGGTACATGGGGCTTATTTTTGGGTGCCGGGACTACCAATTGTTTAGACGGCGCAGGCGTTGCCTTTGCCACCTTCTTGCCCTTCCTCTGCCGACGGGGAGTCTGCAGGCTTTCGGAAGATCGATCAGTCGGCAGGTTCTGTGTTTGCTGCTGGTTCAACAGCAGTTGTGTTTCTTCCACTCTGGTCGAGAGGAGATTGTTGTGTTCTTGCATCCTAGCCATGTCCTGCCGAAGGGACACAACTTGTGCTAAAAGCTCTGCGTTCTCAGCAG